ACACACACACACACACGAACAAAAACACACACTCTCTCTCTTCTTCCACAGGGGCAAAGGAGCTGGTGAGGCTCCCTGGCCACATGGTTTTCCAGTGTTTGTTGGGCACACTCTCTCACTCTCTCTCTCTCTCTCTCTCTCTCCCTCCGGGGCATACTCTCTCTCTCTCTCTTTTTCTCTCTTTTTCTCTCTTTTTCTCTCTTTTTCTCTCTTTTTCTCTCTGTTTCTCGTTTTTGTTCTCTCTCTCTCTCTCTCGCCCTTTCTCTCTGTCCTTGTGTCAGCCCGAACGTAACGAACCAGACCGTTTGACAGATCTTGCCTGGGAAGCGAACGTACTCAGGGACAATGTATCCGATGCATGCCAGCATGGCCACCTTGGCACTTCGGCTTCTCCTGAAAAACCTGAACCCTGGATAGCCTGAATCATTTGCAAAAGCACCTAAACCCCGACATGCACAACAACCACCAAAAAGGAAGAGGCTGCAGCAACAGCAGCAGCAGCACCACCACCACGACCACCAGCAGACCAGCAACAACATTAAAAACAAAAAAACAACACACAGTGGTAATAGCAAGCATGATAGCCGCACGACTGGACGACGCATGAACAGAAGCTAATCCCCAACCCTAAATCCTCAAGCTAAGACGGCCTAGACCCTGTGTTCTTCTCACTCTCACAGCATCCACAAACCACCGAGGCCCCAGGCTCGGCCGTGCTGCAGCTCGACGATCCGCCTTCGGCGGAACTGCTGCTTGGCGATCTGGGCCAGAGTGGCTTTCGGGTAGCAGACTTAGGGTTCGGGGCTTCGGGATTTAAGGTTTGAGGGCTCAGGACCTTATTATTTTCTGACAGTTGACATGTCAGGTTTCGTGACCTCAGTTTCTTCTAGTTGAGGACCCAGAATGTCGGGTGTTGGACAGGAGTTGAAGGCGTTGCTGGGTTTGGTTATCAAGGCATTGGTACACCACTCCCCCTGAATGCATGATCTTCAAGCTCGCAACCCGACACACCCCACACCCCACCCTAACACCTTAAATCCGCTGCCCTCCATTCCCTGGGAGCCTCATCGTTATCGTACTTGCTAAGGCCCAGCGGGTCGAAGAATCCCAGGGGTGGCGTGACGCCAAGCTCCTGAAAGGAGCTCGAAGCTTCTCTGTCGGGTCTCTGGGGGGTAGAGCTGGAGCCTTACAGATGCAGGGTTTGGATCTGTGCTTCGGCCCCCGCATCAACCCTGACACCTGAACTGCAAAGACACAAAGGCTTGACCTCAAATGCTGCCAGCCTCGAACTATAAGAATACTGAGTGTAATCTCGTAAATCTGCTACGAAGGACCCGGAGAAACTTGCCTGAAGACTTGACGAATGTTTTGTGCATCTGAGAGCTGAAGGCATACGTACTATTGTTCGTTATTGCTTTGGGCTCATGTATTTCACGTATCACAGGAAATCGAATCTAGGGTCCGAGCCGTAAGCCCTGACCAAACACATGCTTTCCAATCCTGGAAACGACACTCATGCCAAACGTCAATCCTACAAAAGCTGCCTGAAGTCGACAAATCCACAAAGCCTCCACAAGCCTGTGCCCCAGCTTTCCAGTCACAGTGGCCGTAAAGTCCCAATAAGAACTTAACGTCTCACCCCTAATTAAATTCACTGCTACTGCAATCATTGATTCACTGCTCTGCACTCAGTTACAACTGTGATTTCTGTTCGTTCCCGGTGGCCTGGGTAAAGTCCGGGGCCGCGCGGAGCGGGGACTCCGTGTAGTTGGCCCAGTCACCTTTGCATTGAGGATGTTTGAGGTTGGTGGTTGTGGGGGCTTTGGAGTGGAGGGGCTTGCGGGCAATGGGTGGTGTAGAAACGGACTCAAAACGAATTAGAGCCATTAGCGCTCTGGAAACGGGAGGATCCTGTTGCGATGTCTTTGCCGATACTAACAACTTGATGCTGCTGGTACGAAGTAGCGAACCTTACCACGATGTCTTTGCCGTGCTTGGATTTAAAGCTTCTGAAGTCCGCTCTCAAGGCGCTTCGGTAAGTTTCGCCCTGAGGGGCCACGCTCGGCTCTTCACCCCCGTGCTTTCAGGGTTTTGAATTTGTCTCGGGGCTCAAAGATCCATCAAAGGCACCCCAGGCGGAGCCCGTCAGGCCGTCCTGGTAGAACCTGGGAGCTTTGATTCTTCAGAACCTTTCTTCAAGGGGCGCTGCTGCCACCGAATGTAGCCCCATGACCTGAAATCTGGAACCCGGATGACAAAAAATGTTTGCTCTCTGGAAGATGCCGGCATTTCTCACTTCCGGACTGCAAAGACCGAAGGGTTTTTTGTTCCTTCGGAAGTTTCGGTGTAGGAATTTGAAGATGTCGGCCACATTGTGGAAGTCCCTTGGGACGAAGAAGCTTGCGGGTGCTTGCACTTTGCTGCTCTGCTTTATTGATGTTGCTCCCTATAAGATGACTTGCCTGAGCCAGGAGGCTGGGAGCCGTTGATCAATGCTTTCAAGTATGATTCCGTGTGACATCCAAGCTTGGGGTGCAACACCTTTGCATGTTCTTTCTGTCACGCAACCAGCACCAGCAAGGAAGAAACTAGAGCAGCATGGATAATGAAGGAAAGATGCATGCCAATGATGGCCATCATCGCAAGGCGACCGTTTGCCAACTCTGCGTTCAACTTTTTCTTCTTCTCCTTCAAGACTTCCAGCATCGAACTCCAGAACCCCTCAAACCTAGTAATTAACCGAAACCCTAAGACCTCGACACCAACTCCCACCATCCGCACAAGCCCGAAGTTCTCTTCGAAAAGGTCCCGTGCTCCTCGGCGTCCGCGCTGGTGAGGACCTGACCAGTCACTGCTTCTGGCTTCGGGATCAGGGTTCGCGTGCTGTGAGGGTACGGGGCGGAGGCTCAGGACTTTGGTGTTTGGCGTCCACAGACCATGACCCGACACCTCAACCCTTAAGCAGATAGTCTTGGAGCAGCCGCTAGCCTCCCAACACCCGGCATCCAAAACACCTTCAACCCCTGAAGTGCCTGAAGCACGATGTAAAAAGGCAGTGAGAAGGTAAGGGGAGGCACATTCCAGATCCTGACATCCAGAAAGCCTTCCAAAAATCCGAAAGGCCTCAGAACAAAAGCCCATTAAAGGAAAGGCCTTTAACTTCCGAATCGAGGGGAGACCGGGGCCCGCACGTACCAGCCGAAGTCGCCAGGGCGGCCGCTGGCGATGTCGGAGCCTTCAGTGTTTTGGGTTTGAAGCTCTAGGATTTAAGGTTTTTCATCTAGGTTATTAGTTATGGTACTCAGGATTTTGGTGGTTCGTGATTACCTTCCCAATTTGCATTCGGCAGAATTGACGGTGCAGGGTTTAGGGCTCGGGGTCTGCACGCGAAGTTCAGGGCTGGTGAAAGAGACGTTGCATCTCCAGTGCTTCCCCTTCCCGCCTGCTCCGCGAGACACCTCGCACCAACCCATGTACAGCCTCGGCTTCAGGGTGTAGGATCCAAGCTCCCAGCCTCCTCAGAGCGCGAACCGCGAGCCTCGAGCCCCCAACCGGCCCCTACCTTCAACCCCGCCACTTAGAGAATCTACTTGCTCATACGCGCCAAGTCACTTAGTATGGGTCCCACTCCGACTGCGTTATAGTCCCGTGTTTTAAAGCTGCGAGCCCATGAAAGCACCGCAGGCAACCCCTTAACGAACCGCTCGGGGAAAGCCCAGGAGCAGGATCTGGGTCCAGCCTCCGGCGGGTACCTGGGCCCAGGAGGACGCAAAGCTCTAAGCTCTGCGCTTAAAAAGAAGTCGGAAAACAGGACAGGGCACCCTGATCTTTACTATCAGCCTCAGAGTCCAGGTCACCGCTGCATCCCAAGTGCATCTGACGGTGGCTACAGGACCCGGGATCTCTACACATCCATGCCCTGAGCCTTGAAACTCCTATCGAAAAGTCGAAAGGCCTACGAGTACAACCCGCGAGCGGGAAACCCGAAACTCCCTCCGAAGGCCTTCGAGATGGCGGCGAGACCATTTGGAACGTCTGCGAACTTGAGACCCATGCTCGGGGAAAGAAAGCCTGTTGAGAGCTGAAGGTTGTGTTGGATGTCATAGGTCGGCTGGACCGAGTTTGCTTTTCTCGCGAAACCCTTAGGCCCTTTGAAGTTTCGAGACATGATAGAGGCATGAATAAAAACAACCAAACCTTCAAAGTCAAAAGACTCCAGCTCCAAGCTCCAACTCTTCCAGTCTCATGTGTCCGCTGCAGAAAGCCAAGACCAAAAGCCATTCAGCAGGCATGGTAGGTACAGGAACGGGCTGGTGTGTTTAGGTAGGTGGACAAACGGTGGACAGGTGCCGGTTGTTGTAAGTAGGTAGATGGATACGATGGGCAGAGAGAGAGCGAGAGAGAGAGAGAGAGAGACTCGCTGAAGCGACGCATCGGTTCGTGTACCAGGCTCGCCGAAGCCATGGAGCGCGAACCCTCCCTGCCTGGGAACTTCCCAGCAATTTCGGGGGTGATGTAGCCTGGATCCGCAGCATGGCAACACTTCGGGGTTAAACGCTTCCGCCTGTGGGGCCCAAGATTTCAGCTCCCCAAGTGCATCATGCACTTCTCCAACCCCAAGCCTTGATCGAGCTTTCGCCAAAAAACTTGAGCTTGATTCGGAGCCGCCATCGATGACCCATATCACATTCCAACTTTTATACTTGATTACGGCAGCTCGCATGCAAACGCTTGAGGTTTACGTAGAGAAACATGAACCCGAAAACATCAGTGACGGGCTTGGTCCTTGACGGTTTCCTTGGAACTGTTTCGCCAAGAAAGGAAACATTGAGTCCCAAACCCTTCAGCTGCATCCAAAACCCAAGTATCCATTTCAGTCACAACCGAAAGATCCGTCGAATTCCTCTGTCTCTATCTGCGTCCAGCTCACCCATGGTTGCCAGCATCGCGATGCGGCCATGCTTCAGTTCAACTGAACGCCTGTCGGGTTCAGGATTTCAAACTTCGGGCTTGATGGTCGAATGCACCAACACAAAGTGACACACAAAGACAAACAATGTATCCTATGAATCTCACACTGTCAAGCTTACTGGCTGGTTGGGACGTTTTTGCCTAAAGTAGTTGAACCTCGACCAGAAGGGGCAAATCCCAGAGCACACAAGCAGTTCCAATAGCCCTGATCGCCTGATCCGGCAACCTCAAACTCAGCACACCAAAAACACGGCACCAAAGCCTGCGCATAAATGCTTCGACATCGCCATCCCTGGCGAGGCCGAGCCTCGAGTCCAAAGCCGCCATATGGGGTTTGTAATCATGATTTGAGGAATTGAGGAATACTGCTTGATTGACGAACATCGACGACGAAGGGGTTCTTCTGCGGAAGGCCATGCAAAAATGGAGAGCTCCGGACAGCGGACTGCTGTGGGGCTTAGGTTTTTGGGCATTGGTTTTCTTGGCGCTCTCTATGAAAATGCTATGGTGCGATTACTCATGAAGGTGAACGGTGTAAAATTAAGCTATGCACCTATGCATATGTACATGCGTATACACGGGCATGCGCAAGCATGTCCTACACTTGCACGCATACATACACGCCCAGGCCCGCACAAATGCTGTTTATGTGTTTGCACTACCATGGCACTTTTTATTATAGCATTTCAAAATGCAAGGCACATACGCCGGCATTTTTAAACGAAATGAAAGAATCACTAATGTAATTACTTCATTCATCGTTCAAGCTTTTCCAACAACGTTAGCCCCCCTAATTTCGGATGCAAGGCTGAGTTAGTTGTGTGTTCTGATTCTGCTTTGTCTTGATTCGGCGAAGGTCTGTGTGTATGCGTTTCAATATGGTCTTCTTGTTATAGCTCACCGCAAGACCGTATTTTTGCAAGTTGGCGAACACATTTGCACATGTGGTTTTATCAAGGTGGTACTCAGTCAGTCTGCACACTGGTCAATAAATCAATGACACCATCCTTGCTTATACGAGTGTGTGCATGCATACATAAATAGACAGATAGACAAACAGACGGATAGATAGATAGATCCATAGATAGATCGATAGATAGATCGAGAGATAGATCAAAAAATGGATCGACAATTAGATACACAGATAAATAGATAGATCAACAGATAGACAAATAAATAAATAGACCGATCGATAGATAAATCAATAGATAGATCGATAGATAGATCGATGGATAGATAAATAGATCGATAGATGGATCGATAGATAGATAGATGGATAGATAGACACGCAGATGGATGGATAGATAGATAGATAGATAGATAGACAGACAGATAGACAGATACATAGACAAATCGACAGAAAGATAGACAGATCGATCGATAGATAGATAGATAAATGAATAGATAGACAGACAGACAGACAAATAGACAGATACATAGTCAAATAGACAGATAGATAGACAGATCGAAAGATAAATAGACAGATAGATAGATAGGTAGATAGATAGATACACAGATGGGTAGACAGATAGATAGATAAATAAAAAGACAGATAAATAGGTAGATAAACAGATAGATAAGACTAGGCAGATAGGCAGACAGGTAGATAGGGGGATAGGGGGATATGGGGACTGCGGGATAGGCATTGGGAGAAGACAGACAGACAGACAGACAGACAGACAGACAGACAGAGAGAGAGAGAGAGACAGAGAGAGAGAGAGAGAGACACAGACAGAGAGAGAGAGAGAGACACAGA